GCAGGAGAATAGAGGGATAATTGATTCATCCAAATTCTCCATTTACGTTTCTGCGAACCAAAGTTGTATTTTTTAAGGAGCTCTTGGTATTTAGTCTTTAGAAAGTTCAAATTTTCTGGGTTTTCAATCATGAATGTATAGTGATGCAACCTTGAGAGTACGGGCATTTTAGATCCTCAACAACTGATGCATTTTGCTTTGAAGTTTGACAATCACAGCAATTAAGCTTTGAACCCTTGATCTAAAGTAGTTCGGGAAAAAAGGAAAAAAATGAAGAAATGGACTGGAGGTGTATTGATTGGATCCATGTTTATGCTACTGGTACTAAGATATGGTCTGATGAAAAATCCTTTCGGGGAAAGTTTACTTCAAGTTGCTATCATTTTCAATGCAACTGATCCTCAAAATCAGATTCAATCTAGTGTGCCTCCAGAAGCTCAAGACCCCAAAGCAGATAATGATCAAGTAGTTCCTGCGGAAACATTTGTGTCTAGTCTCTTTTGCAAGGGGAATTTCTCTAGTGAACTGAATAGTTCTTTGTTGACATGGAATCAGATGAAGCATCTAATCAATTATACTCAGGGTTTACCTAATGCTTTAGAGGCTGTTAAAGAAGCTCAAGTTGCATGGGAAAGCCTAGTGAAATCCCTCATAGAGCAGCAACATGCAGATGCTAATGAAAGTACACTTACTAAAGTGAAGGAGAAACAATGTCCATATTTCCTGAACAAAATGAATGATGCAGAATTTGGGGACAGTGGTTACCAACTGCAAGTTCCTTGTGGCCTTATTCAGGGTTCTGCAATCACCATAATTGGCATTCCAAATGGCCTTATGGGAAACTTCCGCATTGATTTAACAGGGGAACCAACCTCCGGAGAGCCAGATCCTCCCATTGTTTTGCATTACAATGTCCGCCTCCAAGGTGACAAAATTACAGAGGATCCTGTGATTGTCCAGAACACTTGGACTGCAGCTCATGATTGGGGTGAAGAGGAGCGGTGTCCCTCTCTGGAACAAGGAAGCAATAAGAAAGGTACTGCATTGCTCTTGTATTTTAATATTTATAGTGAAATGGAGGTACATGAACTTGGGAGGGAGACATAGATGGGCAGAAAAGATTCATAATTATATTTTTATGCTTGCTTTGAACATCCAATAACACATGTGCCATGTTCACTTACTATCTTTTTCCATGATATACAGTGGATGATTTGAAACGTTGCAGTGATAAGGTGGGAAACGATGGTAGGCAGAAGTTTAGAACAGATGAATCTTCTCAGATTTATCTATGGTCATCAAGGGCACAAAATAGATCTGGAAACAAGTGGTTTCCATTTAAGCAACGGCACCTGTCAGTGATGACTCTTCGGGTGGGAGAAGAAGGCTTCCAGATGACAGTTGATGGAAAGCATATAACTTCATTTGCTTACCGTGAAGTAACATCTCTTGTTTCTTAACTTGCTTTCATGGTGATATTGAAAAAAATGCTGATTTCTATGTTATTCCTTGACTTATGGCTATTTTATTTTTGGGACATAATGTTGTAGGGCTTGGAGCCATGGCTTGTAAATAAAGTGATGATTTCTGGAGACATAAAGTTAATTTCTGTCCTTGCCAGTGGCTTACCCACATCTGAGGACTTGGAGCACATTGTTGATTTGGACTTGCTGAGGTCTGCTCCTATCCCACCAAAACAGCCATTAGACCTCTTTGTTGGTGTCTTTTCTACAGCAAACAATTTCAAGCGTAGGATGGCTGTTCGAAGGACATGGATGCAGTATCCATCAATAAAGGAAGGAGCAACTGCAGTGCGCTTCTTTGTTGGTCTAGTGAGTTCCTATGGTATCCGCTTTCAAAGGTTTTGTTTAATGTTAATGCTGGGTATCATCTATATAGAGTTTTCTGCCATTTTTTAACTTCTCTTGAGGTTTTTGTGGAATAATCTGGTTAATTGATAGGCATACTTAATTTTTGCACTATACTGCAGCATAAAAACCAAATTGTAAATGAGGAACTGTGGAGTGAGGTAGAGACATATGGAGACATTCAGCTGATGCCATTTGTTGACTATTACAGTGTTATTACTTGGAAGACTCTGGCAATCTGCATATTTGGGGTATGTTCTTGCTTCTTCTTCTTCATTTTTTTTTTTTTTTCTGATTGTTGAAAGGTTTGTTCCCATTGGCTTATTTTATATTTTTTGTGCAGACAGAGGTGGTTTCAGCCAAGTATGTCATGAAGACAGATGATGATGCATTTGTTCGTGTAGATGAAGTGCTAGCTTCAATAAACAGAGCAAATGTGACCAATGGATTGTTGTATGGTCTCATCAACTCTGATGCTCGTCCTCATCGAAATCATGACAGCAAATGGTATATAAGCCCTGAGGTAATTTCCAGAACAGAATCTTACTTGGAAGGAATATAAGCAAAATATGGGCTGAGGTAGAATCTTTGTGTGGTATTGTTTGATTAATCGGTTCAT